TATCATAGAGATCAATGTGACAATGTAATGGCAGATCTCCATTCTGATTGGTTTGAATTGGGGGTGTCACCTCCTCCTTTATGTCTCACCGATTGCCTTTCCCTCCCGCAGTACGCGTTACACGTCTATAACGAAATCATAAGCGTGGGACAGAAGTACGGAATCCGCAACGCCGGTTACTATGCTCTGAGGAGCCTGCGCATCGAGAAGTTCTTCGCCTTCTGGGGTCAGGACCTGGATCCCTTCACCACCCCGCTGGAATGCGGCCGCGAATTCCGAGTCAAGCTGGACAAGGTGCCTGTCTTGTGCGCTCAATGTCTCCTATAGGTTCGGGGTGATGGCGGCCCCGTCTATAGAAGACGTACAGACATCGCTTTCACCATTTACATTTGTTGGAACTAAAGATATAAAAGTTTTTTTAAAGTTTTGGATGGAATGATTAGGGGGGGGAGGGGGCGCGATCAGAACTCCTTTTGGGGCTTTATCTCTGTCCATGTCAGGGAGATTCACCCTCTCAGATTGCCCAATGTCACCGGGAATGAAAGCGAGTGTGAATCTGGCCAGAACAGGAAGAGAGGGGAAATCTTCCAATGGGGACACTTCCTTCTGTGATACTCCTCACAATGGATCTCCTCTCACTTCCTGTGGAGTGTACAGGGAGAGAAGTAGTGGGAAATAATGGGGATTGGTGACCGGAGTCCCACTACAACAACATTCTTCTTATTGTCTCTGACGCTTGGTATGTTCTCCCCGCAGGGATATGACTTCATTGGCCGGGACGCCTTGCTGCGGCAGCGGGAAGAGGGCATCCTGAAACGGTTCACTATGTTCATCTTGGAAGATCATGACACAGACCTGGACCTGTGGCCCTGGTGGGGGGAGCCCATCTACCGGAACGGGGAGCTGGTGGGCAAGACCACCAGCAGTGCCTATAGCTACACCCTGGGCAGACACGTGTGCCTGGGCTTTATAAACAGCCAGGACCCCGTCACCCCCGAGTTCATCAACCGGGGACAGTACGAAATAGATATCGCCGGCCAAAGATTCCAGGCCAAAGCCAAACTTTACCCCTTCAGTTCTCTGTTCACCCAGAGACGCCGCAAGGAAGACCTGGAAATGGGGTACTGAGCCGGATCCGGGCCCGCCGGACGGAGAGGTAACCAGAGCCGAGAGGTTATGAGCACAATCTTGGCCTCTGTGACCCTTGTGGAGTACGGAGCAGCCTCGTAAATCCTGATAAGGTCTGAGGCCAGCAGGGAGCTGCCTATGTTGGAAAGTGGCCCCTGGGAGCCCGACTGCATTTATTGTTGAACACTATTGGGCCACTGATGCATACAGAATGTCATTAATCCCCTTGCAGCGGCTGGGAGCTCTCCATACAAAGCACAAGACATCCAGCACTGCTCTGTGTGCAATCTCCAGCTATGCAAAGCCCCCGCTGTGTGCCATCTACATCCGTGCACAGTCCCCGCTGTGTGCCATCTACACACGCGCACAGCCCCCCCGCTGTGTGCAATCTACAGCCGTGCACAGCCCCCCCGCTGTGTGCAGTCTACAGCTGTGCACAATCCCCCCGCTGTCTGCCATCTACAGCCGTGCA